TTTCTTTCTTTCTTTCTTTCTTTCTTTCTTTCTTTCTTTCTTTCTTTCTTTCTTTCTTTCTTTCTCTCTCTCTCTCTCTCTCTCTCTTTCTCTCTTCCTTTCTCCCCTTCCTTCCTTCCTTCCGTCCTTCCGTCCTTCCTTCCTTTCTTGTCTCTTTTGTTCAGTAACATATCTCCAGTACAAGAGCATTGGCTATGACAGACTAGACAGTTCCTGCTAAAATTTGTTGAATGATACTAGGAAGGTGCAATATAGATGTTAGAAATAGCTGTTTGCTCTGTGTGCTGACACAGTGTAGGGCACATAATGAAGAGGAAGTCAAATGATTATGGTGTAAGCACTGGGAAGAATAAGGGAGAAAGAAGTTGAGAAGGATGTTGTAAAGACATTACTTCCTTTAATCCAAATGGGTTTAAAGTAACACTCAGTAAATTTGCTGTGGAATTTTAAACCAGATGTAGTCACTATTTAATTTTACAGGGTGGATTTCATGTTGATTGTAGAGCATACGAAGCTTGCACCTTTTTAATGGGATTTCAGAAATTTGCCCTTTCCATTTAGCTTGTGAAATTCTTACATGAGCTTATCCAAAAATGTGTACCTGTATCACGAGCAGACCATTGAGAGCTTTGGAGGTAGTCAGAAGTCATGGAAGAAAAGGACGGGACACACAAGACATCCTGTGCTTCCACAATAACTCTCTGAATAACTGAATTAATCATAGCAACTGAATCATTTTTAAAACAGCTGGTGACTGATATCCTGAACTGCGCCAGAGATGGTTGTGACCACATGTCGGAAGCACCTGAAGATGATACAGGGCCTCTCAGATGGGAACATAGCTGTGCCTTTGAAAAATTCTTTGTGGCATCTACAAATGCAAATTACTTTAGCAATTTATATTATATTGGTTAATTGCTAATCACTTAACACCTCCTTCTTACAACTGAACCCTCAAACTGGTAAATGTTCCCTTGATTACTGTGAGTGTGTTCTAAGGAGGTCAGTCAGGTGGCTATCCCCTCACTTTCATCTAGTCTTTTATCCTAATACATTATTCTTTCTCTCTTATATTTGGATGAACATTTGCAAGCAAAATACAGATTTGATAAAGTTGACAGTGTCTGATAATGAGATGGATGATATCTTTATTGACATATTCCCATTTGGATCATCTTAATTGTTGCAAAGTGAGAGTGAGAGAGTCCAGACTCTACTTTGACGATTTGACCACTACCTTAATTTATTCTAACCTGTCATAAAATTTTTTTCAAGTGAAGATATGAACTAAACAATACTATATTTTTACTCCAATGTTTTTTTTTAATGTGAGGCTTAAATGTACGGCTTGAACACATGACCATGAGATTAAGACCCTGAGATCAGGGCACCTGGGTGGCTCAGTTGGTTAAGCATCCGACTCCTGATTTTGGCTCAGGTCATGATCTCACTGTTTGTGAATTTGAGCCCCACATCAGGCACTGTGCTAACAGCATGGAGCCTGCTTGGGATTCTCTGTCTCCCTTTCTCTCTGTCCCTCCCCTACTTGCACTCTCTCCTCTAAAAAATAAATGCATATGTAAACATTAGAAGAAAAAAAAAGACCCTGAGACCAAGACCTGAGCTGAGATCAAAAGTCAGATGCTTAACCAACTGAGCTACCCAGATGCCTCTATCTTTGCTCCAACTTTTACTAGCACTATCAGCTTGGGTAAGTTACTTAAACTCTTGGTGTCTCTGTTTCATCATCTTTAAAATGAGATATTGGTAGTACCTACTTTGGAGACAGTGTGACGATTAGGTAAACTAATGTATCTTAACACAGTTCTTGAGATATAGAAAATGGTCAACAAATTTTCTAATATTAATAGATTATTCAAATAATTTAGTAATTTTCTAATTAACCAATCTATTAGTTACCTAATTAATGAAACCTTTATACAAATTCCGTAAATTAAGGGTTAATTATACTGTTATGACTGATTATTGGAAGTATATACAATTTATCTGGAATAGTATTCAATAATTCTTAAGAAGATTCTTTTTCACTTATTTCTTAAAATTCCTGTATAAAATGGCTTTAATCCATATGAATTAATCAAAACACAGATATATAAACAGTTCAACTGTGAATTTCTCTCATTTGTAATTCTTATGTATTTTATTTTAATATTTTCCTCTTAAAATGCAGTTTTGCAATCTAGTATAACATACTTGGGCTGTTACACCAACTATTAATATTATTTTCACTCTTGGGGCACCTGGGTGGTTCAGTTGGTTAAGCATCTGATTATTGATTTCAGCTCAGTTCATGAGTTTGAGCCCCACATTGGACTCTGTCCTGACCCTGCAGAGCTTGCTTGGGATTCTCTCTCTCTCTGTCTCTTCTCTCTCTCTCTGTCTCTCTCTCTCTCAGCCCCTCCCCTGCTCACACTCTCTCTGTCTCTCTGAAAATAAACGAACTTAAAGATATTTTCACTCTTAAACTTTCAGACACATCACTGGGCAAATTGAAGGTACAAAAATGGTATTAAAATGTCACTGATTGACTTAGAAAGAAATATAGTCATTACATTGGGCAATTAGTTACTCTTTATCAAGTTATAAAAGTTATAAGGTTGATAATTGTGTTGGCCACATCTTGATCTCCTCTTCAAATCCTCCTATCTACTTTTAGTTAATGGGCAGTAATGGAGCTCTGCTGAACTTCCACTGCCTATCAGAGGCTTATTTTGAGGACCCACACCATATCTCTTGATTCTTGTCCTGAGTTTTCTCTGATACCTGTATCTGCTTAGCATCAGACACATATGACTCATGGGGCCATCACAGACCAATGCAGGATGGGACTCCTTGGATAAATGTTTACCCTTTCATTTTCTGGCACACAGTTCTGACACATTTTATAAGGCTCTTCAGAAAGCCACAGTGGATTAGAGCACCACTCCTCCTTAGCAGTGGCCAAATTAATGCTCTCTCCTGCTGTCTTTCTCACAGTTCCTAGTTTATGCCCCTCGCCCTTCACTCCTACTGCTTGGAATCACTTGGAATCACCTAGTAAATTCTGCATGCAAACCTTTGTCACAGCCTCTGCTTGCAAATCAACCCAGGGTAATACAACTTTTTGATTATTATTTGTTTTTATGGAAAAAGCCAAAAAAGATCAGACCTCAGGTTATTATAACTGGGATGATGAAAAAACGTGAAAAATAAAGTTATTAATTCTTTGGAAGAATTTAATTCTGAACTCTTGGGGGAAAAGTGTAATGACAAGAGTGCATAAAAAGATGTATGCATAATTGAAACCACAAGGGAGATCAAGTTGAGGGTTCGTTTTACAGAAGGTACTATGTAAAAAAAGAAGTTAACGCCCATTTCTTAATATTTGTAACTCAAAATAGCTCCCATGTGTAAACATGGGCTTATGTAGGTAGTAAGATTTCTTATGCCACTTAAAAAAAGTTTCCTAATCCTATTTTACTTTTAGATGTAGGATGGAAACAATAGAGAAAATAGGAAAGGTGGTACACAAGAAGCAGAGGTATTAAGGGAAAGTGGCGTTAAGATAGTTAAAACATAATATAGTGATTTCTTTTTCCTTCTGCTGTTTAAACACTTCAGGTCTGTTAACAGGAAATACAACAAGATTACCCCCTGGATTGGAAAATCATTCAAAGGCTCTTTGAGCTGAAGGCCAAGACAGGTAAAGTGATCACACTGGGCATTCATATAGATTAAGAGATTAGTAACCAATAGATGCAAAGGTGGTGAAGTTGACTTGGAAGAGCCATGGTAGTAGCCACCAGAGAAGCTTGTGCGCCTGCATATGGGTACACGCATGTGCGTGTGTATGAGGCATTGAGCGGGACCAGGTGTGGATCATGTAGTCTTACCCGTCATCTCCCTCTCTCTGCAGACCCCACCCCAGGCCCAGGGAACCCAAGACAGCATTCTTCTGGGATGTTCCAATGAGGCCTCTCATGAGGAAGTTAGGGCTTGTATGGCTTGTGCATTTCAGTTCCATCACCTCCCAGAAGTCAGAGATTAGAGAAGGTCCGACCACTTCCAATTTAAGAGGATTCTAGCATATTAAAAATATGGAAATGTACCAACAAGGTAACAAAAAATTGCATGTTTTATATGTTTATGCTTAATAAACTAATGCTATTAACAAAATAATCTTTTTATTTGAAATAACCTATTGAATCACCGTAAGTTATAAAGATAGTACAAGAGCTTCCTGGGTATCCTTCATTTCCTCCAGTGGTTACATTTTCCATGGCTATAGTACAGTATCAAAACTGGGAAACTGACATTGGTAGAATGTGTGTGTGGTTCTCTGTCATTTTATCTCATAGGTAAGTTCATGTCCCATAGGTAAGTTCATGTATCCACTGGGGCTGTCAGGATACAGAACTGTTTCAGCACTACTCCCCTCTCTACTCTACTAACCCTTAGAAATCATCAGTCTCTTCTCTAATTTTATAATTTTGGCATTTTAGAATGAAATATAAATGAAACCATGTAAAATGTACACTTTTCATACTGGTTTCCCCCCCCACTCCCAATCCCCTTCATGTAATGCCTGTGAGATCCATCCAAGCTGGTGCATGTATCAGTTTGTTCCTTTTTATTGTTGACTGCTGGTCCATTGTATGGACTTCATTTTCTTATTTGCTACTATATGTCCTGTTTGGTGAAAAGTCATCTTGTCATTGGCCATTTTCTAATTGGATTTTTGTTTTCTTAACTGTTGAATTTTTATATATTCTAGATATGAATCCTTGGTCAGATAGGTGGTCTTCAAATATTTCCTCCCACTCTGTAGCTTGTTTTTTGATTCTGACAAGGGTCATTCACAGAGCAGAGGTTTTTAATTTTGGTTACATTTAATAGATTGGCTTTGGGGCACCTGGGTGGCTCAGTCGGTTGGGCGGCCAACTTCGGCTCAGGTCATGATCTCACGGTACATGGGTTCGAGCCCCGTGTCGGCATCTGTGCTGACAGCTAGCTCAGAGCCTGGAGCCTGCTTCAGATTCTGTATCTCCCTCTCTCTCTCTCTGACCCTCCCCTTCTCACACTGTCTCTCTCTCTCAGAAAAAAAAAAAAATTATTGGCTTTTTCCTTTTGTAGGTTGTGCTTTTCATGTCCTGTCTGGGAATTCTTTACAACCCCTTGGTCCTAAATATTTTCTCCTCAAAGCTTGATAGTTTTATATTTTACATATAAATCCATTATCCATTTTGAGTTAATTTTCATATAAAGTGTAAGGTTTAAATCTTTTTTTTTTTTGCCTATGAGTATATAATTACTTCCCTATTAGTTTTTAAAAGACCATCATCCTTCTTTCATTGAATTGCTTTTGTACCTTTGACAAAAATTAGTTGCCTGCACATGCGTGGCTCTATTTCTGGGCTTTCTGTTCTGTTCCATTGATCTATGTGTCTACATTCTGCCAATTCTATGCGGTTTTGATGACTTAAAATTAGGTAGACTTATTTTTTCCACCTTATTTTTTTTTCAATTTTCAGAACTGTTTTAGATATTCTAGTTACTTTGCCTTTCAATATACGTTTTAGTAAAGTCCTATTCATAGCTATAAAAAATTGTGTATTTTAAATGCTTATACTTAACAAATCAATGATTTTTGACATATTCTGAAAATAAAACGTAATCTATTTGTTTAGGAGATAATCACAGGCTGTATTACAATAGTAGTTCATATTAAAGTATAATAGCAGTGTGCAGTTAGTTATCTGATAAGTAGATACAAATCTAAACTTGTAAAATGGATTTCTTTTTATCCTAGGCAATGTATTTCTGTATATGCATAGATCTCATTTGGAGAATATATCAAAATAAAATTTTGAAGTCCCTTGTATATCAGTAGCCAGGGGCAAATTGACCTTTTCCCCCTCTCCTTGCCCTGGAATAGAACCTGTTCCACGTTCCTTTAAGTAAGAAGAACAGGAAACAACAACCCAAAGTGTGACCCTTCTAAAAGGTGGGCGCTTTGTTGCCTTGCTTTTGGAAAATCGGCCATTTGTTTCCCCAAATGTTTTCATAGAATGAAGAGGAAAATGTGTAAATACTTAAGAATATAAGACCATTCGTAAAAATGGAAAGAGGAAAGAAAATCTTCCCCTCTTTCTCAGGTACACAGAGCTCTGAAAGGAAAAATTAGCCTTCATGAATCCTCTTATATCTTCTATGCTGATAAATTTATAGAACATACAAATCAAGTAAAATTCTTTGATATAAAGATTAAACCTTATATTAATACACAATATTAGAAGGCTTATTTGTATTTTAGTTTACCCAATTTTAAATATTTATACAAACCAAAAATGCAAAAAACAATGCTTCACTGAAAAAAGGTTTGGAGGTAATCATAAAAAGGACTATAAAGACAAAGCTATCATGATCACAACACACAATTTTGGGTAAGAGAAATAGTGTGCTGGGGACCATGATAAAACCATAAGCAGACAAAGAAGGACTCATTTATAGAATTTGGTTTGGACATGAATGCAGGGGGAGGGCCATGGTGGTAGTATAGACAGACAGATGTCTTCATGACACTCTTTCCAGACTTTTTGTTCAAGGTGACTTCTTAGAATCATTAAAGTTTATAAAATGCAAACCCCCTACAAAGGAACCACTGGACAGTAGTGGTTCTCAACCCTGGTATACATTAGGATCATGTAGAGAACTTCTATAACATACTGATGACCAAACTCTTGGAGAGTCTCAGTCAACTGGTCTAGGGTAGAGTCTGGGCATTTTCTTTCTCAAAAACAAGTCCCCTAGATGATTCTATTTGAACCAAGAATGCAAACCGTTGCCTGTTAGCTTTTGGTTAATGGTCTGCTACAGTGGTTCTCTACCTGGTCATACATTAAAATCAGCTAGGTAGCCATTAAATGCTAGGGCACCACCCCCTGAGATTCTGAATCAGTTGGTCTGAGGTAGAGCCCAGACATCTGTATTCACAAACAACAACACAAAAATCCAACCCAAACAAGCAATCAATTCTAAGGAGAACCCAGGGTTGAAAAACAATGCAAATGAAAAAAAGACAAGGCTATGTTTTTTGGAGAGAGATGGTAGGGAAGGGAAAGGCAGAGAGAAAGCAGGGTGTTGATGAGGTTATAAGGGGTTGTAGGATCATTTCACCTGCTTTACAACTTTTCCACTAAATACTCATTGGCTGAGTCTGAGAGACTAGAATTCCTATTTTTATGAAAACCAGAGGCAAGAATGAGTGTGTAAGATTCACAAGGAGGAAACTCAAGGGATCCAGACTCAGAGTTTGATGTTAAACTACCAGGTAGGCTTTTGCTCTGTACCTATCTCCAGGAAACCTTGATAAATTGTTCTCTATGAGCCACAAAGTTTGTTGGATCAAATCCCCCCACAGATCTACTACAGTATTCCTGAATTTGAATAGTAACTCTCACATGGTGACATACACTATCTCATTTATCATTTGGACGGAACCATTATTAAAGATATTCTCCACCTTTCCTCACTTAAGTATTCAGCTTTGAATTCTGAAACAGTTGTTCAATCCAAGATTTTGAATTCTTTTGGCAGGCAGTATCCCCACTGGTGTGATGGCACACAAATCCAGGGGTCCAGCTTGACCCCTTCCAAGGAGTTAGAATACAAATAACATTTTTAAAGTCTATAAGATGTGACACATTTTTCATTTTAATTTAATGCCTGTAAGCAGGGATTTTTTTTTTTTAGTCCCTCCTTCCATTTTATTATTCCTTCTGAGTTTCAACCTGAAAGTCCTACATGACTTGACAACGTATTTGTGATGAGCTGAAGCCCATCAATTAAGGATTTCCTTTCATCACGAGGCAGAGGGGCTGCAGGGATTTCTACAGTGGTGCTAGTCTTCTTGTGATTGGAGTATTTGTTTTAATACGTCCGAGGGACAAATGGAAAGCAAAACATATTTAAAAAATTTTAAAACCTTCCACTAAAACATGAACTCCTCCAGTGTTTTCACTGAGCTATTTCTGTATTTAGTGAGATCAAGGTTCTTCAGAGAAAGCAAGCATATCTGCACTTAAGCATGTATTATTTTACTGACAGGTATATATTATTGCAGCAAAATCAGAAGACGTTGGCTTAAAATGACTTCTGATTGCAGTTTATGAAAAATGTAACATGTCTATAATCAATGGATTTTTCTAACTGTGACTTTTGACATTCAGTCTTCAGTTGCACATATGTTATTTGAAAATAAAATAGTGCATTTCTTATTTTAGCCTTATTGTTAGAAGTACCTCTGTTAGTAAGAGCCACAGACAAAAATATATCTAGCATTTAATGCCCTTATTCTAAATAAAGAAGCCACTGTAGGTTGGTTGCTGAAAAACTGACAAATTATTTCAATTGTTTTGTGAGAAAATATTATTTATCTCATAGCAACCAAGTTTACTGATGATTAGCTTTTATGCTGGCCCACAGAATCATATAAAAGGAAATAGGAGTCTTAACTTGTACAGTTTGGTCAAGTCACAAGAGCATAACTAATAGAACCTTCACGTTAATGCTCTGTCGGAATATATACTTTCCCAGGTGTTGCTAATAACTAGAACCAGCTATGGCCTGCGCTGCAGCTATAATGATTCTGTTAGTAACATTTCACTACCACCCAATGAATTACCAAGACAGCAAGGAAATGCAGATCTCTATTGTCAATTTTAATTGTACTTTAAAAGAAAAATTATTTATTTTTAATTTCAGTTCTCTGTGAAATTCTCATTCAACCAAAAATCTTATTAATACAAGTTTTCACATTTGGATTTCAGCGGCATCCGTAAAGATAAATGAAGATTGTATCATGATTCTCTGGCCAAGAATTTTATCATGCAGGTTCATTAACCACTGACTAGGTTGGTTAATTTATTTGATTGAAGCCTGGGGCTCATGACAGCAAGGTCAGGAATTTAGTCACGTCTGAGTTAATTTGCCTTGACCTCTATTTACCTTCTAAATGCTGAACAACTTCTTACAAATCTGTAGTTCACCACACATTCAGCATCAGGGCAGAATTGGACTTGCCACTGTCAGAACAACAGCTCTATCTTGCC